CTCTGCAGAATCCCTCTCTCTTGCCACACCTGCACAAGCCACACCAGTAGTTCCCACTCCATCCATGGAACAGATGGGCAAACCTGATACCAGCTGGGTTCTCTGCTCAGAAGAGGGAAACAGAATCATCCTCAAAAGAGGATTTGGGTTCTCCCATTGTAGGGATTCCTGAAGGGATGAATCCATTCTGAAACCTGTTGAGGCTGAGCAATATGATTGCAGGCAAATAGTTCAAAAGCAAGGAGAATTAGATCTCAGAGTTGATACACAGAGTGACTGACTCAACTTCATTTGTGAAGGAGTATTGTATCTGCTCCTGGTACCATTCTGAGAGAGTACCATTGGGTTGGATTGGTAAAGTTGGAACATGTCCAATGTGTTCCATGGCCATTTCAACATCATCAGTGGTTAACTTGGGTGAAGGAACCTGGTAAGCAGCAATTGTGTGTGCACCAAGAGTAGTTTCCATTGCAGGAGACATTACTGTCTCAACTGGTTCATCCAGAGAATACTCTGGGGACTGAGAATGAATGTGGAAATTGATAGCATCAATTTCATAAACATCAGAGGGATAATTGTCTGGCAATTCCTCAATAGAGGTGAGGTTTAATTCCTCAGTGCCCTGTCCCAGAATTTCGAGGTCATTGGCTTGGGCTCTACCCTTGCCTTTGCCTCTTTGCCTATTTTGGTTATGTCCATGGTTGGATGAACCTCCCTGCTGATTGTTTTGAGGGTAAGGTTGGTAAGAACCACCTCCCCCTCATCCACAATTTCCTCAGAAACCACCTCAGCCACCTCAGCCATGAGATCCACCTTGTGGACCATTACCCCAATGATCCTGTGTATTATGTGAGCCCTTGCAAATATTGCAGAGGGGCAGTTTGTTCATGTGAGCAAGTAAGGAGTTAGACTCCTTTTTAACTTGAGTTTGGGAGGAAGATGATTCTCCCATTTGTCTTGGTAGCATGGATTGTCTGGACCGATGAGACCAGGGTTCCTTCATATGAGGAATGACCTTATCAGGCTCTAATTGTGTGGGGTCAATCAAGGAAAGAATATTTGTGGGAGCTTGGTCCCATGAGGCAGTCATGGAATGAACCAATAACAGTGACTTCATTTTGTTATCCAAGGTAATGCCCTGACCAGATATGGTCTTGAAGAGCATGTTGATCTCAGCAATTTTTGCCATGAGGTCATCCTTGGGTCTGATTTGAATTTTAATGAGTTGCTGGAACTCCATATTTTGCTTCGAGATCATCCCATTTGGCCTTGGAAGTCATATGGGCATCAACAGAAAGTGCGATCATCAGATCGCAGTATAAAGTGATGCACCCCTGCATGCAAGAGTCAGAGACTCTCCAAATATTGGCAGCAGCAGCATCTGCAGGTAAGGCCTCTGCACCCAATACAGTGTTCCAGATGCCAAGAGTCTAAAAATATGCCTTCATCATAACACTCCAAACAGCATAATTCATCCCATTTAGTGTCAGGATGTTCTTTCTGAGACCTCCTTCAGAAGACATTCTAAAAAATGTCTAGGATTAGATGGTCATAAAGGAAAGTGAATTGAGGATCAGTGAGTCCAGGGTTAAAATTGTCTTGGAGGAGAGCTCATAAAGCCTTATGGCATTTACATGCTCTGGACTTTTGTCCAGGTTGGTTCTGGGTCCTTGGCAATTTCCTTTTTATTTTTGGTTCTGATTCTGTGCCTTTCTCAGCATATCACCAATTGGCAATGCAAGAACTTCGCTGGACATTGTACTTGATAAAATCAAAGCACAAGTCAGGGAAGTAATGGTAGGATAAAAACAACCACCCCATTTCATGAAGTCCATGGGGGTTCAAAAAGCCTAACCATTCAGGGTCACAGGAATAAGGGAAAGGAAACCAGCCATATATGCAATTGCCATATTCTTTAGATATGAGGATTTCAAAAGGATTATAAGAACTATCTAGAGATGGCACCAGAGGTCCATCAGGATACTTGAGGAACTGGCCACCTGATGCATACAGTACATCCATGGTACCAGGGAGAGGATAGTTTGTGACAAGTTTTGGCAGCTGTGTGAGCCCAAGCCCAAGCATTGGCATATAATCCACAATGTCTGGGTTGGCTGTAAGCTGCTCCAGTATTGCAGGCCATCACACATTTGAGGTCAGCCATAACTGCATGTGTTCCAGGCCTGTAAGTGAACCGCTTCATACTGGCAGAGTCAAGCCACCAAAGATGGCTTCGAGTTTTATCATAGCTGGTTCTGGAATCATCCAAATCTCCACAGGCCTTAAACTTATCGATGAACTCCAGTAGTTGGAGGTTGAAAAGGTGGCCTCCATGTTGTTGCTCTCTAAAGAAGTAGGGGATGCAGTCAACATCAGTAGTTCCTTATTCCTCAGTAATGGCTTTCCAAATACTTGTGCCAAACCTGGAGAGGAGGGATGAGGTCCCAGAAAGAGTTTCCTGAGACATAGAGGGGATGGCAGTTGTAGTACACATAGATGAATGTGTCATGAGTGATAGTGGAAGCTGGGACTGTCCAGAGGGAAGGATCTTCATAGGTAATACTAGGAAGGTCACAACCATTGAAGTTAGCAATGGCATTGGGCAAAGAAAGGAAGGAGATTTTGGGAGCAAAGTTGGTTAAATAGTTGTGGAATGTGGTATGGAGACCAGGAAGTTCAAACAGCATTTCTAGACCTGGATATGTTGGGAAGCCATCCCAAGTCACCTCAATGAGGGACAACAGGACATGAGCAAGCAGGGGTTGCAGGTGCATGAAGAAACTCCTGCTAGACAGTACAGCATAGTGCCAATTGGTGCACTTTCTAACATAAAGACTCTCCATATACTCAATCACCTTTTTAATGTACTCTTCCCTCCATTTGTTTCCTTCACACATCACATCACATTGGTGAGCAACAGTGATTTCAGTTTGTTTGGTGACAATGAGAGACATGCTATAGAGGAGCACATAAGAAACCATTCATAAATAAAAATGACACATTATTGAAGTAAATTGAACTCAGTGGGGTCACCAAAGACCATGAGATCAACCTCAGTGACTAAGGCATTAGCCTCAGCAAGGGCATCATTCAATGCCATAACCAACTCAACAGGAGGAGTTGGTTCACAGTGAGGGGGAAGCAGATTGGCACTTCCTTCAACCATGTATGGCAGAATGGGATCTAAGTCAGCCTTGTCATCTCGATTGGGAATCGCATGGAGCAAATAATGCAGAGGCAGAGCCTTGATGCGAAGGAAGGGTGGTGGTTGAGTGAGTAGACATTGAAAGTCTGCACTGATAGCAGTGGCAATCCAGCCTCTTACCCAATGCAGGTAAAGGTCACACCAGGTAGGAACTGCAAGAGCAGCTACCCAGAAAGCAATGGAGGTGGATAATAATTCCCTAAAAGGTCCATATCCTCCATAATAGACAAGAAAAATATTTTGGTAGTATGCAGTCATAAGCAACACAATGAAAGCAACAAAGCTCCATCCTAGCACATCTAGGCCATCAAAAGGCATGCTGATATGTCTGTCAACAGTGATCAGTAAATGCATGATCAACAATAGCACACTGATGGTTTAGATGTCAGGGCTCATAACCTATTGGCAGAGGAACAGGAAGGGGAAAGGAGGGTGAGAGCCAGACGAGCACTTGCCTGTATAATTGGATAGAGCTTTTGAAATAGATGGTTAGTCTTGAAGTAGTAGTTCTGACTGATAGTCAAACTTGTACAAGTAAGTGGAATGTGAATTCACTAAGGGGACTCAACAGAAACCCCTGGGTTTATATACATGTAGGAATGCGCACAGACCATGAGTGCATATGGTAAGTAGAATGAGTACCTACTTTGTATAGTAAAGAATAGAATGGAATGTCATAGAATAAAGTGGAGCTAAGTGGAATAACTTAGCAAGCATGATGTCATATAAGTAAAACTCATCTAATAAGCAAGTTCTAGAACCAGTAATAGGAAATACCAGTTGCCAGATATTTCCAACAAGTTTTTGTTGCTGAAAAGAATCCTGCAGTTGGCAGGATGGCTAAGAAGCCACTGGACAAGTATTTCAGTATGAGGAGTATCCCAATTGATGTTTTTTGGCTGGGTACTTTCCATCAAGGAGTCAGCTGCTGGCTGCTTGTTGGATGCTAGGTCCTTCCCTTTACTCCCACTCCCAGGTACTTGCGAGGATGATCCACCACCAGTAGTTGCAGTTACAGAAGGCCTTCCTTGACAAGCTTGTCCACTTGATGAAGCCATGGGTTTTGATAAGAGTGACTGCAGGTGAGCAGACCATCAAGGGTGTCATCAATAGGGAGGCATAATTTTCAAACTCCATCATGGCCTTCTTCTGGGCTGGGGTACACCATTTGGTCTGTGCTTCAAGAATGATCCTCCCTGGATGCAGGTTGGCTTTCTCTCATCATGGATGATTAGTAAAAGAAGCTGACACAATGCTTGTCATGCATGGGGTGAGACAAAGACAGCACAAGGTGAGTTTGAACCTGTTGTTTTTATGCAGGAAAATTTTCTTGCAAATAAATGCACTATAGAGTCTTGTTCCTTGCAAACAAATATGCAAAGTTCCACCTAACTTAGGTTTCTAATTGTTTACCAATCATGCAATGGTCCCCAAATGTGTTCATTTAGCATCGAAATGCTGCTGTGCAGAGGCAGCACCTGAAACTCTCAATGGTCAAAATTCAGTGCTCTCTGTCTCCCTTGTGACTTGCCAGGCTGCAACTGTTGGTTCAAAAACTGGTCAGGGCTCACTCAATGCAAGTGCAGCCATCTGTGCAAGCTCAACCACTTTTGAAGGTCTCCCAGTTATTGCAAACAGGACCACAGTTTAAATGCCATACCCCCAGCAGCCAAACACATTGTAGATCATGATGGTGGTCCACATGACTTCAACCATGGCACAACATTGGATCAAGAACTGGATGGAATGATCATAAATTTCATTGGTCCTGGAGACAAGGTTTACTGTAATTATCATGCAGGTCTTAACAGTAAGCCTATGCATACATGATTCTGCCTCTACTCATACATTTTATTACAGCATGAAGATGTGACTCCCAGGGCCATTGTCTACCTGATGATGCTCCACTGCCACTTTATGTATGGGGATCACCAGATGATTGGGCTCCATACTGCAGTCAAATAGAATTCAAACTTGCCAAGTTTCTTTTTGAACATGCAGAAATGCTGGTGAACCAAATTGACATGTTGCTTGAAATCTGGGCTGCATCATTTCTCGAGTTAGGTGGCAAACCCACTATTGACCAACCACATGGATCTCTATCATGTAATAGACAGCATGTCTGTTGGTGCAGTCAAGTGGGAACACTTCAAAATCACTTACAAGCACAAGTGAGATGGACAGGATGAACCAGATGAGCAGGACAAAGTGATTGAACTGGGCAGTCCAGGTGGTCAGGATGGTCAAGACAGCCAGGATGAACCCAAGGCCCCTTGGATGTTTGACATCTATGATGTATGGTATCGAGACCCCCATCAAGTTATCCACAACCTCCTTGGATGTGCTGACATTAAGGATGAAATGGACTTCATACCATACTGGGAGTTCAATGCTGCAAGTGACCAGAGGCATTGGAAGGATTTTATGTCAGGTGACTGGGCCTAGGACAAAGCAGTATGTACTAGGTTTGTCTTGATGTAGGTCCTACTAACCTTGTACTTCTAGGACAAGATTATCAGCAATAACCCATTGGTTGCTGGAGCAACATTGGTTCCCATCATCCTTGGCAGTGACAAGACCACTTTTTCCATTGCAACTGGGCAAACAGATTACTACCTGCTCTATCTTTCCATTGGAAATGTGTGCAACACCACTTGTCATGCACACTGTGATGCAGTAGTGCTCATTGGATTTCTTGCAATGCTGAAGAGTAAGCACTTCAAATTCTATTACTTTGTACCACCACTGATAGCCAAATAGTGACTAGGGAGCATGCTAATACACAAGTGTTCCATAAATTCAAGAAGCAGCTCTTTCATTCATTGCTGGCACACATTCTTCAGTCACTTGGTCCTGTGATGACAGTTCTGGAAACAGTACTATTTGGTGATCAGTACTACTGACATGTCATCTATGCACTTGCAGCTTGCATAGCTGACTATGAAGAGCAGGTCCTCTTGTCATGCATTGTGTGTAAATGGTGTCCAAAATGTCTCGCACATTGGGAGAACCTTGACGAAGATGCACTCTGGCATCACCACAAGCACACTGAATTGATCAGCAGGGAGTTGGGCCCTCTGACACTTTGGGATGAATATGGCATTGACAGAGATATAGTGGTATGTACAATATACTGCTTTCTTTTTTCATGACTGATCAAGGACAGCCATTTACAATCAGGTTTCCACATGCAGACATCCAGAGAATGCTTTTTCCAGACATTCTCCATCAACTCATCAAGGGTGGATTCAAAGATCACCTGGTTGACTGGGTGGAAAGGTATCTTACCCATACTCATGGAAGGAGTGCTGCAGAAAAAATACTGGATGATATTGATTGAAGGTGTGTTGCCTGACCTCTGTCATCACACACTGACTGACCTTATTGAATTCCAGGATTGCAGCTATTGCCCTGTTCACTGGGCTGTGATGTTTCCCTCAAGGCCAACACTTTAAACAATAGACTGGACAATGACTCCAAAGGCCTCATGAAGGATCTTTGATCCTTTTTAAATGGTGTATGATGATTGACTGGTCCTCTACAGGTATATATTGCAGCCATTGAAGGCTATGTCCTGCAGGATGTCAGTCCACACATTTTGTGCCTTTCTTGAGTTTTGTTACCTTGTCTGCTGAAATGTTATCACCAAACCAACTCTTGCTGTGATTGAGGATGCACTTGCACACTTCCACTCATATTGTGAAGTCTTCTGGAATGCTCAAGTAGTCACTACATTTTCATTACCCTGGCAACATGCTATGAAGCATTATCCCTATCTTATATGCCAGTTTGGTGCACTGAATGGGCTCTGTTCATCAATTACCAAGTCCAAACATATCAAAGCAGTCAAGTGGCCTTATCAGCATACTAACCACTTTCAGGCTCTTGGACAGATGCTTGTGATCAACCAGAGGCTTGACAAATTTGCTGCAGTGCATGCAGACTTTGAAAAACATGGTATGTCGAGAGGGACTTGCCTGTCACATGTGCTTGTGAATCTTGGTGGGAGCATTCTTCTTAGACATTGTTCTTGATTCTGACTGTATTCTAGAACAATATACTAATAAAACTAGTAATGAGACTAACCACAATGTGTCAAACAATCAGGACTGCAAAGATGGTGCTGATGAACCCACAGCAAGTTTTGAAGAGGACCCAGGTGATATGGACAACTCTCCTATGTCAGTTGAGGCCCACGTATCATTGGCCCAGACTTACTGTATGCCTTTGCTCATAGCTTCATGCATATGAATTCTAATTGGTTAATCATAGAACAGACATGTGTGAGGAATACAAGGGACCTAGCAACCAAACTTAACATACCCCAGCTCCTCAATATCTTGCGCTGCTTTCTTCAATTGCAGCTTCAGCAAGATGTCCCCAATCTGGAAGATGTCCCCTTGGATGAATGTCCCTTTTATGATGGATGTATCTGTGTCTACAACTCTGCATCCTCAACATTCTATGCACCCAGTGATGTGAGTGGCCTCCACAGCATGAATCACAAACACATACATTGTTCCCCTACATGGAGGAACAAAGGCCCCTGTTATGACTGTGTTTTCATTGTGACTAATCCTCATGTGGAGGGCATGCTTGGGCTGGATGTCACTTGCATCCTGTGTTTTTTTTTCTTTTAAGTACCTAGGCATGGAGTATCCTTGTGTGATTGTATGTTGGTTTGACCATATAGGAGATGGCCCAGATACCTGCACAGGAATGTGGATAGTTTGTGCATGCAACACCCAAGACATTGCTATCATCCACATCAATACTATCTATCATGCAGCTCAACTCATTCCTGCATATGCAAACCACCAAATCAACCCAGCAAGCATCAAGCCTAACAAATCATACAACAAGTTTCTCCATTACTATGTGAATAAATTTGCTGACCATCATGCATTCGAAATCACCTCCTAGCTGCAAGTTATGGCACATGAAGTCATTTGACTCACCTCACTCTCATTTCCTCATATGGTGTTCATTTCCTGTACCCTGACATTTCATTGCTCACCTTCTTGTACAAAATACCACCCAATCCCTATTCCACAACCATTTGTCAGTGTCAGTGTCTTTTATTTGTATACCTAATGTGACTCTGTGAATAGCCATGAAACACATGAGGAGAATGTGGAAATATGTAAAGATCGAGCAGTCACACAGGGCAGTGAGACTCAGTGCTGGAGTTGGAGGCTTGGTGGGGTTGAATGGTATGTGATATCATCCATTAACATGCATGATGAAAACAAATAAACAATGGGCCATGAAGAATTCAGTGATGGAGGGCATAGAGTCAGAAACAGCAGTGACAGAACTGGCATGACTCACACCACCATTGGAGGCTTATCCATCTGCAAAGCAACTGATGGTGTTCACCATATGCAAACTGGAGACTTAGAGTTGCAAATTGAAATGGAAGTACTGCCCTCACCCCTGCCATTCATAATTTTCCCTTCTTGCATGGTTACTCAATTTATTGTATCATTTTTTCCTTCTTTGTTTGTCTGGCTATTCTGAGTCAGTGTATGGTACCTGCAACATCTCGTGGGCAATTTTTTTTAACATTCAACCACATAGTAATGACTACCCCACAAACATAGAACCATCGCTGCTGTCATCTCTGCTCCCATCTCCCCTTCAAACCGATGCCATTCCTGTCATGGACTCTGCATTTCTCAAGCACCCCCACAACCCCACCATTGCCACTGTTGTCTCTGCTCCTGTCTCCCCTTCAAGGCAATGCCTTTCTCTCCATGGACTCCACATTGCTCAAGCACCCCCACAACCCCACCATTACTGCTGTCATCTCTGCTCCCTTTTCCCTTTGAAACTGACATTCTTCTCATCATGGATTCCACACTGCTCAAGCACCCCCACAGCCCTCATTTGCCATGAGAAAAATAGCCCTGAAACCACTTAAAAGGAGGGAAGACTGGCCAGAAGCATCTTTGCATACCTTTATGTAACACCATGAATTATATTCTCAAACACAACTTGTGTGACTTCTGTACTTTTCTCACTTTTTTGAACAATTTGAGCTATTTACATTGTTCAAACCATCCAGCAAGTCTCAAAAGTCTCAAAAGTCTCAAAGAAGTCCAAAATAGTGTGAATAGAATTTTGTTAATTTCCTGATGTGGTATGACCCACATACCCAAGGTCAGTGAGTCTGTGAAGTCAATCTTCTGTCATGACTCAAGTAAAGGTGTCAATCCCAATGCAGCCATTGCCATTGGTGCTGCTATCCAGGGTGGTGTTCTCGCCAGAAATGTCACCGATATTCTACTTCTCAATGTCACCCCACTCTCCCTCAGCATTGAGACTCTCAGTGGTATCATGACAAAACTCATCAACTGCAATATGACCATCCCAACGAAGAAGTTGCAAGTGTTCCCCACTACTGCTGACAGCCAGACTGCCATCAAGGTCAAGATTTTCCAGAGTGAATGTGAACTCATCAAGGACAACAAACTCCTTGGCAACTTCAATCTCATTGGTATTCTGGACCTGAAGGGCATCCCTCAAATTGAGATCACTTTTGACATTGATGCTAGTATGTCTCTTATACAGGTCTTTAGATAATTTCCTCATCTTCTATAGATGGTACCATCTACATCACTGCCAAGGATAAGGTAACCAACAAGGACCAGTCTATGATGATCTTGTCTTCATCAGGTCTGAGTGACAAGGACATTGAGCACATGATCTCTGACACTGAGAAGTATGCCAATGCAGATAAGGCCCATTGGGAACTCATTGAGGAAGCAAACAAGGGCAAGTCAGTCTGTGTTGACACAGAGAAGGGTACATATTTACTACATGGTGCTTCACTTTCCCACATTGATTTACACCTGTGATAGAAATGAACGAGTTCAAGGACCAGCTCGATGCTTCTGAGAGGGAGAAGGTGTCAAAACTCACTGGTGAACTTCGTGAATTGGCCTCAAAAGGCCTCCCAGTGATGCTTCTGTCACTGCTGAGCAAATTGAGGGGAAGATCGGTGAGACTCAACAAGCCTCACTAGGCCTTTTCCAGAAGGTGTACAAGAAGCACAGTGCAGAGAATGCATCCTCTACATAGTCAACACAAGGCTCTGAGGACACACCCCCCACTCTTTCACATCTGCCTTCCCCTCTTTTTGCATTACATCCACAAACTCACATTACTGTCCTACTTGTACTTCCATCTGCCACAGGTCTACTCAAGGTAGTCAGGTCTCTGAGCTGTAGTATGGTATCTTCAAACATCAGGAAAATAACACTTTACTATTTTTGACTTTTTGTGACTAATGTGACTTTTTGGGAAGGAATCTACTATCATTACCCATGTCCTGCAGGCATGGCTGCACTTTTCTTGCTGATTTTTGTCTTGTTCAAACCACCTAATTCATAGCTTTCAGTAGATACCACATACATTCATATTGATGGAGGTTCCAAAGAGATATTGTGATATTTCTCTCAGACAGTGTGCATCATTTTGAAGGATGCTGTAGGTATCCTCAGTAGTGCAACAAGCTACTTATGTATTAGACGAGCAATCCCGCCACCAGGCAGAGGGGCAGGGGAGGGGGTCGAGCGTTCGAGCAGGGCCTGTGGGGCATCACGACCTCGTGGATTGGGTGGGATGACCGGGGAGGGTGTCAACAAACTGTGTTCATGTCCTGCCTATGTTTATCTATTTTATCTGCCCTCCTAGCTAGTGCAAAAGTGGTGCAAAATGGCTGTGTTAAAAATTATGCAGGGGTAGTATAAAAAGTTGCACAGGAACAGTACTGCAAAAGTTGCACAATCAGCTGTTTTATTTTTGTTTGTTTAATGTTACAGATGCAGCGTCATAACATACACTCTGGAGTTTGGAATCTGGATGCTTGTGACGCAGGTATCACTTTGAAAGAGCAACTAACATCTAGACCCATTCATAATAAACTTCTCCGAAACGAAATCCACGTTCCCCCATATTCCGGTCGAAACCCTTTGAACAAGCACAAAAAAGCGACAGAAAGAAGTGCGCCAAATCAGTACTTGTTTCTCTGAACACATTTAGCCAACGAAAGAAGTCATTTTAAGCCGCTTGAATTCCGGAAGACGGTCCTTCTTACTGATGCTGAGTGAATGGCATTTTCACTTGTCTTCTTCTAACTGTACAATGCTACGCTTCTTTCTTGCAAAATATTGTACGCTCTATCACAACAATGCGAAAAAAAATATGGACATGCATACCAACTGCGACATCAATTCTCAAATAGATCCATAGTCGAGGGGGACGATCGCCTCCTGTTGAGCCGTTGGCCTGCTTAAGAGAAACGAAGAACCACGGCTAGTGAGACATCCATGCTTTTCTTCGTCGAGCGCCGAGCTAATAGATCGTCAGGCTATCATAGACAATATACGCATGTACAGATCGAGTACGGCTTGCTTCGGTCGAATAGCTATGCGGGGCAGACCGCCATTCCCAAACCCCACGTGTTGGGCTTCACTGGAAAACGACGCACGCCACATGACGTCCACTCAACAGGCAGGTGCATGGAATATGGAGAAACACGGCACCCAAGGCAATGTCAAACTAATCGACGACTTTCCCAGTACGTCATCGAGTTCCTTCCTGAACAACAGGTTCCAGCACACGGATGGCCTTTTACTGCGTCCGAGCTGGGCTGTTGTATACCCATCGTGCGTCTTGATTTGTTTTCTATTATTGCTTGCATCGTTTAGTAAATCGATAAGGTGCGAATTCTTTAGCTTCTAGTGCGGACACAACGGTTTCGAGGCAGGGGGGATAGACTAGGCGGACCCGGCGAATTTCGGGGCACCAAAGGTACGTTTGTATTCCTGTGTAGCTGATGATAGGTAGGTAGTACTCACAAACATAGCCTACAGCCGCGGTCATGGCAGTGTCTCGTTAGGGGGGCGATTGATTTTCATCTGCGAAGTTGCTTTACCGAACTCGCGTCCGGGTATATTGGGTGTTAGTACCATACATGTCTGGCGTAGAAGGTTTCAGGAATAATCTACTGTAAGAATTAGTTGGATTCGGGATCGAGGTGACGTCGTGTGAGTTGGATGAGAGATGATCCCGGCGACGGCTGATGACAACACGCATCGGACTCGTTCACCGCAGCGTCTTCAGGATGGTGCCACCCCCGCGCGCCCTAGCCCAGGGCCAAGTTAAACCTAAATATTTCCTACACGCACGCCGAAATTGCGTACTCAGTGTGCATCAACCGAACCACATACGAACGATGGGTCGATTGGTCGACCGGGATGAACGTCAGCCATCACCGGACACCCCACAACATCAATAACGGGAAATACCTATAAATACAAGCCATCGAGTAGTCCGCCGACCTGTTCTCCTCCCACCACCCGAACGCATATAATGATGAACGCCCCCGCTTTACTACGTCGACTGACCAAGCTGTACGCCTTGCACATCCCAGCAAGCGATTGTTCTGCTTCAAAAGACGCTGCCAGCAATATACAAGACGTGTCAGCGACAACTTTGCCTTCCCATGTCGGTGGTCTCCATGTTGTTCTCGGTCGAACGTCCAGCTAATACATTATCACGGGCAAAATTCGAAACTTCGAATGTGCTTGAGAGAATTAATAGTGAGTGTTGGTAAGTACTGCAATACTCAGATTAATCAACAAGTTTACATACACGCAGGCAATGCGCGTTCCGGCGTAGAGTCGCGATTCACACTCTTCATCTTCGACGTAAACATGGAAGACGCTACGCTTACTCGCTGTGCCCAACATTCTCACTCTTGGATAAACGTCAGAGCCTCCGTAGCCAATCGCCATGCATTGACAGGTCTTTCCGTACGACTCCGAACCTATCGTGCCAACGGACTGCCGTGAGCGCTGATCAGCGACCGTCCACTCCTGCATGGCAGGGCTAAATACTCGGTGATGGGGAACGGAACAAGGGCACGCGCTTCACATAATGAAGATGGTGGTTGATTGCAGGCCCTACACTTTTGTGCATACCTCACTGGAGTATGATAGCGAGACCCGAGTTGCAAGACCAAGTTCCCACGCGGATAGGAGTCAACTTACGTAAGCGATTAGATTGCCGAATTTCGACTGGATTTGTGCAGTGTCGATAGCCAGACACACACCCAAATTCGACACTTACGGTGGTTTGAATCTAGCTTCTGTCTTGCATGGTACATAGTATATTCACGAAAAGCACTCAAGCCTCGCTAAAGACTTCACGGTTCAGGTAACGTCGCGTCTGCGACCCAAATCATGAATGCCAATAAACCTAGGAGAATACACCGCGTCTTGTCTGTGAGTCAGTCTCTGTAAACATTTGAAATTGAAACTATCTGCTAGAGATACTGCGCTTCTGCGTGGGTGGCATGAGTGCACGTATTGCAAGTTATACGCAGGTCAGGGATGTTCTACATAGCTAAGTACTGTATCTGTGGAAGTCCCTGAAGGAAGCACTTTCATACCCACCTCCTCACGTTCGCCGCTAACTAGATGCGGCAATGTTTCATTTTCAGATCAATTGCAGGTGCTGATGTGTGTATATATTACGTTTATAGTCGTGTTCATTCTAAATTACGGTAACAAAACTGAAAAAAAGGATGAAAAACTATGTGCAACAGCGCACTATACTCTCTGGAATGTGTTGTGGCGGCGTTTTTGCTTTGGGAGAACAGCTAATATCTAGACAGTCACGAACTTCACCGGCCCAACAAACTCTGGTACATTCCCGCATATCTCGGTTCCACCTACATGGTTTGTAGGCTTTCCCTTGTTGAGGGAATTTATTTACGTTACTCCTCAGCGCTCAGGGTTGCAAAGTTCAACCACCACGCTGTCACCTTTGGTCCACCTGGGCTATACTAGGTTAAATACACTTTACTCAGGCGCGGCCGTATGCCTCATTACGAATGACAAGTAGCACATAAACTGAGCAGATAAGCACTTTCTTCTGCTCACGCCTTCACCTCCCTGTTTCTACATCCTCGTTCTCTCACAATGAATCAACCACCTGCATTGTCAATTACTCCCAAGGGAACTGCTCTTGGCGCCATACGACGATGTGAGTGGTAGTTTCATGACGGTCCTAACAGCCCATCCATCTCTAGCTATCCCATGCATGCAGTTATTTTCGTTCTCTTCCTTGGCACTCCTTCGCTAGAAAGTCTCGCAGCGCAAAGCGAAGATGCATTGTCTAAACTCATAGACCGCTGGACCAATCGCACATCAAACATCACCATCGTTGCCGCTCTTGCAGCTTCGTATGTCCCACACTGAGTTGCTCTGATGTACCCCCCTTGGTATACTCACTCTGTCGCAATACAAGGACCACTGTCGCATTTATGACCACCCTTCCCCCAACGAGTCTCATACAGTGGCAACACCAACTCACATACTTTTGCATCTCAGCCTCTAGTGGGAGTGCTTTGCTGTCGGTTCTGAGCGGTCTTTGCCTGATTATGTACTTGAACGGCGCGAGTCCCAATTCTATCAAAGTGAGTGTGGTCACCGTTATTGCTGATTCCTTCCGGTAACAACCAACATCTATAGCGGGTACGGACAAGCATGTTCAAACGTGTGGCCTTTGCCATGTTGGTGTTGATGCCAACTACCTTCCTGTTCTTTTCTGCGTTCTGTCTTATCGTCGCATGGATTGCGTCTATCTGGTACGGTGATCAAACTTGGCTGAAGGTTGTAGGGGACGACTCTCTCCCTTGCTTCCACAGTGGTTGTTTTGTCCCTGTGTATGACTATTCCTCTGCTCCAATAGTTTTGTTACTATCCCATAATATGCACTTTGTATTTTCTTTGGAATACCTGGACTCGTGGCATTGGAATTATGAAATTTATATCTTTGAGTATGGTCCCTGGTGACAGTCACTGCGGATGCAAAGGAACTCATTCAGGCTTGTGGCAACCTGTTGTACTAGTGTATTCGTTGGAGCCGTCTATGGTCCAGGAGGGCTCGGCAAAACCACAGTGAATAGCGTGACACCACGAAGATACATTGGGAATCTACCACAGTACCTTTTCCCGTGAAATGTAACTGTCCGGCACAGTTCGCGACGTTTCCCTGAACCCCTCTCAGACAAATCAAACCTTACAGAACGTGGTTAGCTGTGACGATAGTGATGAACCTGACGGTGATTTGGGAACGCCATTTGTATTGTATCGGTGACTTAGGACCTAACCTAAGCCTAATCCGATCTGATCCTGACGATCGAGACAAATGCCATCCCTCTCAGACTCCCGTACTGTACTTCTGCTTTCTCTATGGCAATGTCAGCCCTCTCCAATCTCGCCTGCTCCGATCGGTCTACGGACTCAAAAGCAAAGGGTACACCGCTCTCTTAGCTCCTCCACCGCCACACCCTTGCTTCGGAGGCGCACAGAGCGTCGCAGACTGGAGCACCCCCAACCACAGAGAATGTCATTAGGTCGCATATGGGAAGAACACGACACTAAGAAGCACGCTAGAACAGTTATTGGGAAACCGCAGGGAGCTCATCTCAAGTCCACCGGAATCTCGATTTTCTCATATGTGTTTCGAAGTTGGGGCGAACGTGTATGGCGGTGGGGCTTTCACTATTCTGTCTGCAGCCTAGCGTGTCCTGCAGAGAAAGCCAGGAAGGCATAAACTGCGACGCATCTGCCAGAAAAGCGAAGGATCTGTCTTTGCCATGCTAATCTCCATAGTATGGCCGGGTTTGTCGTGAGCCTTCTGCAAACGTTTAATCCTGCAAGCGAGAACAGAGCCATCTCACACGCGTACGGCTCTAGTACTTCATTTATGCTTCCCCCCTCTCCGTACGTACCCATCCTCGCGCGAATGACCACCTCGCACATGCAACGCCATACTTCTGATCTCCAATCTCGCTTCTCCCGCTCTGCCTACGTTGGCCACTGTGACATGACCTCATACATAAAGGAGTCCTTACCACGTCGGATGGTCCCGTCGTTGAACTTGGTTAATGATGTGTGTATGAAGTACCCGACTGTGTGGGTGGCTACACGCCTTTGGTAACAATAAACCAAGTGTTTTTCGTTGAATTCGGCGTTCCCATTGATGTTCTTAAGCTCGAACCTCCAGCGGAACTCCGTGTCTGCAGAGAAACTTGATCTCTACTCATCTCCCAGGCCGGACGATGTGTGCGATGTAAAATTTCCGAGTGGAAAGAGGAAAGTGCCGCCAGTAAGACATAATACATGTTGGGGTCATCTTGTGTTTTGTCCATCGACCTCCTAGCTAATAAATCGTCAGGATCCCATAGACAACATGTAGATGTACCGTTCGAGTCTGGCATACTTCGGTCAAATTGCTTTGCGGGGCTGCCATTCACAAAGCTATTTGTAGAGAGGACTGGCTTCACTGGAGAATGACCTTGCTATGCAACGTCCCACCAGCAGTCCACTTGTGATACAAATGGGGTCAGAAGAGAACTTCTCATAACCAGCATGCTCAACTGCTATCGTAAGTTATTTGCATACCAGAGGAAGATTCATATCACACGGTTCATGTCTTGGGATGAAACCTGTCACGCATATACGAGTTCTTAGGATACTTATCTGTAGGGCATGGGCTATTCGATCATTTTGCATCCACGAAACCGTTTCCATCCTGCTGGGCACTTCACCGGGATGTACATCAGGACCAAGTGCGTGCACCATAAGGACGAAGTAAGCGTTCGTGTAAGTCCATCTGGACAGTTGTCAAAGCAGTTGAAGAGTACAATGGGGGTGTTTGCCTCGTGCCCTGTGTTTTGTGGGAACCGCTGCTGCGTGAGAAGTATTTCCCTTATGTAAGCTCGGTGCAACTGCTGACTTATGTAATGGTTCAGCCTCTTGCCCGCCTCGTCGACGCCGAGCATGGGAATTCCTCTTCCCCATGCTGAACGCCAACGATCCTCATGTACATTCTGGTAGACTGACCACAAGCTCATGTATTATAGTGCCTGTGGTATGAGTCAGAGCTATCCAAATCAACGGATTCTTGTCTCGGCGATCGTCACCTTTCCCGACTTGATTCGTAAAGCGAAAGGGGCAGTGAGTGATCCATATCCCATGATATCACGCTGAGTACACTATACTGACGTGCCACATACATTCCCGATAACTGAAGTTGATAGTTTCCCGACCACGACATTGGATGTGGCCATCATTCCTTCTCAAGCGGCTACGTGATCGACTGTCGATCCAGGGGCGACATCATCAGCGCCATCCTCCCTCCTTTGACAGCCCGTGCATCTGAACAGGTACGCCCTCTGCAACCTTTGTGTGCGTACACCATATATATACGAGAGCCTTGCGTATCTAACCATATTCCGATTCATCAGTACGGCTGTTTAGCACCAACCCTTACCTGAGGTCGCGTTTGGCATACATCCTTGGCAAGTTAGTACTGCTTCTCACCGCAGTCTGGAACGTGTAAAAGTAAGTCATGGATACCATCGGAACGACCCCCAAACAGTCCGTTGCGTCGGAAGTAGAGGGAGGTATAAAAGTAAGTTGTCATTCGGCCAACTGACAGTTGAGGATATTTGCAGCTAACACATTTGTAGTGGGTCAAAGTCCAAAATTGCGAGACCTGTACGCAAATATATCGAATGTCCACAAGCGCAGTGTCTAATTTACAGGCCCAAGATCCAACGCGCTCTCCCACCTCAATATTGCTTCAGGATATCTATGGGTAAGCGACGCCAATTAGGCATCCCTAATCTCTCTGCCTGGCTTGAGATGGGCGACTGAGCTCGAGACTGGCGGTGCAGCATTTACGGTCAGCATCCGCATATAGCTTGCGCACCGCAGGAAGCTGATATCGTTGATCTCGATCAGGAGCCGCGACTATTGCGCCTACTCTGGATGACGTGCTGTGTCTTCGCGCTTACTCAATCATATCTTTAGGGTTGCATGGTACGTATTCGAAGGCTCCGAGTGATATTCTAATAAAGTCCGGTGATACCTTCGTAGCCAGAGGGGCTATTCAAGACAATCGCGCTGCGTAGGGAGAACTCTGGGCTGTCCAAGGGGCGTGCTTGGGGAGCATGTGAAGCCGAGACTAGAATTAGTGGGGAGAACCGGGGATGAAAATTTGTGAACTTCACAAGCTGAAGAAGTATAGACTGGATGGTTCGTTTTGATTCGGATCTTTCCTTGTCCGATTTGTGTGCCATTGCGCAGCCTACAATTAGCCTTCAGGGGCAAGGTATAATATTAGAGAGCCCTACCTGCGAAGCATGAACTGAACATTTATTTCGGGTGATAGCTCCGTAACCAAGGAAGCCTGGCGAAGGCAATGACACTGGATATCGATTTCATGGTGTGAAGCCTTTGTAACTGAAGGGTATGATGGGAGTATCGTTGAAGCGGTAACAGAAAAGAGAATGACAAGCACCGTAGGAAGAACACAGATGACAACGTATCAAACACATCAAGCGTCACAGAGCGGAGCTGGTTTAGTAAGCGTTTCAATGGATGCAGCTTCGGTATCATTGCCGTCCCTCTCAGCAACTCGCTGGGGAGACATGCTGAAATCATCAACTTTTATTGTCTGGGTCTCAATCGCAACCACCATCGCTGAGGTTGCGAGAGGATCGCGCTGTGGTCTTTTCCGAATTGGTTGTGAGCCGAATGTGATTATGGACTTGAACTCCAGCGAAGTGGGAGCTGAGGTTTCTTCGGCGCTGATGCGGAAGATGAAGGCGACGACTACAGTCAAGTTCGCCACAATCAAGCTGGTTGAGAACTGTGGAAACAAGACTTGAATCCGCACCGTACTGGAATGGCTAACAGAATTGAAAACCGTACCTCAACTATAGCAGCTAAGACTTCTTTTAGCCCACCATCGGTAAGCACGTAATATGCGTGGATCAGGCTGACGATAGTAGTAATAGCAGAGGTCGAAAAAATAGACAGAAGTCGGATCTTTTGAGCCTTAGTGAGTCTGATTTTGTAAATCAAACGGAATGGAGCCAGTATTAAGATCATGTCACCGAGCACGTCGGCTGGATGGAGCAACTGGTTAGGGGCCCTCCCGCTCGTGCTAGTGCACACAACAGACTCACTGATTATCTGCGTAATGGCAACGTTCCTACCTAGATCGCATTGAGGACGTGGTTGCGTTTTCCAGCCACCTTCTTTCTCACAGACCCAGAAGAGTTGCGCGAATAGGAGCATCCATGCAAATGCAAATGCGATGGAGATGCGTACTAGCAATCTCCTTAACGAGCCAGGGAAAGTCAGTCGCACGACCGTGAATAAAATCGAGATCCTGGACGACCTAAAACCATTCTGAGATGGTGCGTGTCCGGAGAGACAAGATTGTTATCGCACCAAACGACTGCATAGAAGCACTGCGCGATTCTATAACGTACTCTTGAGCATGCTGTGACACTGGTTTGCTGAACGAACGATAGACATACATATAATAAAACACCACCCTGGTATCTTGAGGATATTGGGCTATCGTTGGTGCGGAGTCAGCGAGATTCGTTCTGGCAGAAAAGATGACGCGCTCACTGTAGTCCTTCAGATACAACCAGTCTACTACCAAAAAAATGAAATTGAATATCATGGCAAGCGCTGCCCATGCATCGTCCAGCCAGAGACGGCCTTGTCGCATCCGCACGAACAAACGGAATAAAGTCACCCCCGTCGCAGCGATGGGCATAACCGTACCGACAACTTTAGATTCGTCAGTGGCGTCCTAAATATGTCATAGTTCTCAAGGTCGCTACCTTCCGTGGCAATTACTGGCCCAGAGGACGACATGTTAACTTGGGAGAGAGGGGGGGGACAAGGAGGGAAGCTTAGAACACCGTGCGTCTTTATCTTTGATCCTTTCCCTTGTGGCAAGAATCGTATCTAGTTCCACCGATCTGCCGATGGAGTCGTGCACGTTTGAACCATCAACGCCGCTCATGCTGTGCACATGACGGCAGTTGCATTAACCCCCCTCTTTCCCTGCGATCAGAATCATGATGCGACCGGAGATATTGAATGTAGAAGTCGTATGGACCCCAACGCTTGCGAAGCCATCTGGTGTTTAACAACTGGTTCGTGAGTATCAGCAAGTCATGATCCTGTATCAAAATCAGTTTGGAGCCACAGGCGATGCGAGTACTGCTCTGGGCTAGTCACGTGAGTATATCCGGACGCCAAGGCACACACTGCAACGGGGACTTTCGCCATCGCCGCACGGTCACTATCTAAGTATGCATACCCCGTTATCTACTGTTTGAGCTATCGTGTGCACATGGCATGTCTATTCCAGGCCTGATCTGTAAGCGCGTCCTCTGGGAGCTGCGGTCTATGCAGAAGCCATCGGCCATTCTTCGTTACCGACTACTGTCTCCATCCGCGGCCTGTGGCGTTCATCAATTGTCTTTGAGAAGCTGTTCCACGACCGTACTCTGCTGAAAGATGGCTATCTTGTAAGTTTCTTGCGTTTACTCCTTCATGATATTGGGGTACGCTACGATTTGACTGGAGTAGAAAACCAATTGTCGAAGAGGTACACGAGTACATTCGAATCGCTACGCTCGAGGTTTCATGGCCGCCACAAACGCGTCCAATCTGAATAAGCTTCAAGTTAAGATACCGATTGAATGGCACTCGTGTAGTACATGAGGCACTTAGTCGATCAGGATTTACATACATATACTTATAGCTGCATCCCACCTGCTCAGTGTCCAGTTTATAACCAGGTACGTGGATGTTGTGTAGTAATGACTAATTTTTGAGCAATGCACTGCAGGAGTCTTGGAGGTACGTATGTATGGGATTAGCGTTAGAACGACGGGAACTGGTGAGATTGAGAGACCTATCCAGCTACAGTCGCAACAGACCTTTGCCAGCACGTCACTTCTACCACTTTGGCTGGCATTATAAACGGAGCCCCCCTTGCGAACATTGGCACTATTATGGAACAGCTAGGGACGCCAGCGATCGCGCCCGTTCTTGAAGGACTGATGGCTCCATCGCTGCGACATTAATGGGATCCAAGCTTAAAACTATCCTTGTGGACCATGATGCTATGGCGTGTCCTACCGTCGCTTCATGGGCTGGTTCTGGCGCATATATCACTGGAGAGGGTATAAACCAGGCAATAGCAAGACCACAAAACCTTATCGGCCTCCATGCCGTTATTACCACTCATTTGCAGGAAGACGCCCAGCTCGACAACGGGTTGCTGTCAATGAAGTCGGTTTTTTCTTTGAGAAGAAGAAAGCCGTTGTAATTTCACATAGTGGCCGTGCAGTATTTCACAACAATCAAAGCCGCGTCGCGGCTGAAGTAAGTTCTTTTATCAGAAGAAAGATGGCGCATCAGATACCCATATGACGAACCTATGCAGTGTGCAACGAACAGCAGTAGGATCATGGGAAGATGATATCTAGCTACACTTGAAGTCACTGAATGGGTTTTGCATGCGTTCGACACCCCGGTTGTTACATTCACTCGATGAAGCACGACGGAGGACGGGCCTAGCTACAAATCAATCGGAGCTTTTGTGGGCGACAGATCATTTCGACACAGCAGGGCTGCTGCTATATTAGATCGAAGTGAATAGAACGGCAAAATAAATCAACCAGCGGACGCCTTTCAAGCTGTCTTCCATGTAGTCGGACCCGAGCCCTCCTGGCACAATTTAATCGTCGACCGTCCTAATGATATCATGCGCGTAGGCAACACCGACCTCTTTGAGATAGGTCGGTGTATGTTCATCATGAACATTCCATTCCTGCGGAACATAGCTCGTGACTTCAACACAGTTTCCACCCGAGTACGAGTGCACAATGCAGTTTGAATGACCAATCACTGCATAGTGGAAGCTCAACATTTGGTCATACAATCCGAAGATGCAACACTGTTGGGGTATCTTGCTTTGGATTGTCACGGTGCGTTCAAGGCTACCCGCTATTGTGGTATCGACATCACGTCAGATCATGAATTCATTTGACTGAAGGTGACATCAATTACCAGGAGAATGGGCGATAGACCTGTAATATAAACTGGGAAACCGGCATCTGCTGATAGCTGTATTATCCGCCGAAAACCGGAAGGCTGCCATCAACCAGTGCTGGTAAATGGAGGCTAGATTCAACCTGTGGAAACTAACCATCGCCGTTCGTTGTACCATAATGCATTGCAAGGATACAAGCTGGGATTACGCCTGAAATTTCACCTGAAACAGCTGCCATCTAATGCAAACAGCAAGTTCTGAAAGTGAGAGACAATGCAGTAATTCAGATCTGGTGCGAGCCTTGATACCGTCATAATGGCCCAGGGCAAGACCAATCTACAACATGTTCGAAGACCGGGAGGCTGAGTGCGCTCATGCAGAGAGGGTGCGTGTTGGTCAGTTTCCACAACGTTGCATGACTGACATGTCGACTTTCTTTGCACCTTTATCGGTTCCCATTATTACAATGATATCAACGATGACATTAGTACTAGCTTGGTGTAGGTGAACCACGTGGAGGAAGAGGTGAGTGCAAAGCGGAAGGGATCGAGGGATGATGACCAGGGGGAACAACAAGCCTAGCGAATGGATCGTGTGTCAGATGAGTAAATTTTTGTGTCGGGCCATCCATCGCGCTGTGGAAATTGTGACCTGTGGACATCTCAGCGTGGTGAGGGGAAATGCACGCGGACGGATTGGCAAGAGGTCCTTCAAGAGTGCAATACAATCTCGGTGCGTACCATGATAGCCCATAAACCGGGCGACAGGGAGTGCGAGCGGGTGGAGGGACAAATTCACGCACACAAAACATCTATCCTGTAAGCATACACTTACTACTCATGCACCACTCACACTCACACATTGCTCATGCTAACATGTCATGGTATCACATCTCCTATTGTGTCCCCATCTGGGCATGTGGATCCCCCCTGTGTTGCACTGTTTGTACACCCTGGGGTATATATACTGGTGCTGCCTGTGTGTATGGGTCATATCTCTTTTTTCTCTCTTTCTCTCTCTCTCTCTCTCTCTCTCTCTCTCTGTGATTGCCCTGTATCAGTGTATATGCTTGATTGTCTAATCCACATGCCTGTCCATGTTCTGTTGTGGTTGTGATCATTGAGTGTGCTCACCCCTCTGTGGTGAGTTCCACTTTTTTTGAATGTACCATAGCATGTGTCAACACCTGGTAAAGGTGTCAAGCTGCCACCATCAGAGAAATGGGGAATGACAGAATCACAGTCATGACCAGTCAGTGACAGGTTTAAACAGGTTTAAACCATTTTTTTGCTTCCTGATGACCTTGTTGTGTCCCATCTGTGCTGGTGCCCTTGACTACCCATAGTCAGGGGAATGACCCTCTGCCCATGACACCATTGTTGTCTCCACTGTCTCTGCCACCCACTGCTCAGTTACCAATGTCACCACCTGTAGCTCTGCCCAGCACCACTCTGTCTTCACCTGTCTCCCCTCCATGTGCTCCCCAGCCTGTGTCTTCTCTGCAGACTCAGCTGATATCTCCTACCTCCCCAGATAACTCATCATCATCAGACAGCTCTGCTGTAGTCTTCCCTGCCATTACAATGTCTTTGACACAACCTCAGGCAATGTGGTGTGAAAACACTAATCCTGGTAGAACCCCTCCCTTCTTGACAGTGGGTGATATTACTCTGGAAGGGTTGTGGAGCTGGGAGCTGGGGTGCAAAAATTATTTTTGACTAAAGAGTGTAGCAGAGGATGCCCAGGTTACTAAGGTTATCAGTCATCTTCTAGACCCCTGTGTCCAGGACTGGATTAGTAACAACAGTAGTTGCCTGACTGATCTCTCCTTTACAGTGTTTATGGAGGAGGTCTGCATATATTGGCTTCCTAGTGACTGGGCAGAAGCCATCCAGCAGAAAATGTTGTCATCAATGCAGGGTAGCAAGGCCTTCCATTTGTGGGCTGTTGAGGTGGAAAGCTTGAATGTACTACTGTGAGGAAGTGAGTTCCACCTTACCAAAGATCACCTCCATTTTCACTTGGAATCCCACATGCATCCAGACCTCACCACAGAGTACCATTTGATGGGTACTCATTGTGAGAAGTGGTTCTGTGCCTGGCTTGATTTAGTCTGCCTCCTTGATGAGAAATATGTCCATGACACAGAAAAACTTGATGCAGCCCTTCACAAGAAGCCTTTCCAGCCTAGTTGTGCAGCCAATGCTACTACATTGAACTCAAAGGCATCTGATGGCCATGTGTGCACCTGACCTCCTGCTCTCACCATTGAGGAGCACCAACTTTTCCAAGACAATTCAGGTTGTTTCAAGTGTTGTTGCCTCTTCCAGAATCATACCATGCATAACTGCCCAAATGATTTCCCAGATGCAAAAAATTACAAAGCCTTGACTGCTGCCAACATTGAAGCCACTTGTAAGAAATGTGCCAAGCCCATCAATGTGATTGTTGAAGACAAGCCAGCCTTGAAGCACTCACATATCACTGAGGAAGAAGATACAGATGCCATTGTGGTTGTGATGCCCTCTGCCACCCTTGGGGATGGGACAACTCAGGTGAAGAGTACATTGCCCCTGTTTCTGTTCCCCATCTTTGATGGTCTTGTCTTATTGAGGGACCCAACTTAACCTTCCCCCTCCCTGTAAAAGTGCTTATTGACAGTGGCTCTCATTTAGTTCTGATTGATGAGACCCTTGTCATGAAGCTGGGTCTTCAACACTGCCAGTTGCATAGGTCACTTGATGTCTCAGTCACACTCTCATCAGGTGACTGAGAGGTTATGTCATTAGAAAGTTATGTTGTCTTGTCTTGCCTTTCCCCTGATATGCACTTTCATTTGTGCTCTGTTGGTGCCATTATCATGTGGGGCCTATGTATTCCATTTCTGTTAGGACTCCCATTCCTTTCTCATAATCAGCTTGTTGTCAATCACACCCTCTGAACATGTGTTAGTAAAGATAGTGGTTATGACTTAATGAATTCTCTGGCTCCTGTTAGTTCCCCATCTCAGCCAGTAACTCCTTCTGTTCAGACTGTAAAGAAACTTAAAAGGGCAGTTCTTATGGAACTATGGGATGTTCTACCAACATATCAGGAGATTGTGGAGGCAGTGTCCACTCTGGTTTCAGGGGTGGATATTATTGGTGTAGTACAACACCACATTGAGGTCCTTGTGGCTGTTGAAGAGTTTTCAAGGCATGATGCACTCTTCAAGATGGAATTTGCAGACCATTTTCTAGTTGACATCCCACCCACAGATGCACTTCCTGATGACATCCTTTTCTGTGTACAGCCCAAAGATGCCAATAAGGTCATTCAACTTTGGTCATATGACTGCCCTAAGAAATACTGCAAGGCATGGAAAACATTGCTTCAACAACATCTTGATGCAGGACACCTGCACCCCTCCAACAGTACACACTCTTCCCCCACATTCATCATTCTGAAGGCCAACCCTACTGCACTACCATGCTAGGTAAACAATTTCTGCCAACTCAACTTAAACACAGTGCCTGATAATCATCCATTGCCTTGTATTGATGAGATCCTTCATGACTGTGCTAGGGGCAAGTACTTTGCAAAGCTGGATATGACTAATGCATTTTTCCAGACCAAGGTCCATCCTGATGACATTAAGTGGTTGGCAGTACATACACCATGGGGCTTGTATGAGTGGATGGTCATGCCCATGGGGGTAAGAAATGCTCCTGCAGTTCACCAGCATCAAATGTCTGCCACTCTTTGACATTTGATCAGTCAGATTTGCCACATCTATCTTGATGATATTATCATCTGGTCACAGACACTTGAAGAGCATGAATGCAACATTTGTGTGGTCCTTCAAGCCCTTCATGATGCTAAGTTGTTCTGCTCCCTCAAAAAGACTCAACTCTTCTGTACTGAAGTGCTCTTCCTTGGTCACTGCATCTCCACCCATGGGATTGAGCCCTACTCCTCCAAGATTGTGAGGATTCTTGACTGGCCAGTCCTGTGCCTCAGTCACAGACATGTGTGCCTTCCTTGGCCTCATTTGCTATGTTGCTGATCACCTCCCCAATATTGCAGACCACACATGCATCTTGAATGTGTTGATGACCAAAGCCATGGAGCTCAAGTTCCCTGCCTGGATGGAGGATCACCAGTGGGCCTTCCAGGCCATCAAGGATCTTGTAGTCAGCCCACATTGCCTGATGACTATCAATCATGATAACCCAGGAGACAACCACATCTTCCTTACATGTGACACCTCTGACTTCTGCATTGGGGCCATTCTTTCTTGGGGGCCCACTTGGGAGACTGCCTGACCAGTGGCCTTTGATTCCACCCCCCTTCACAGCACAGAACTTAATTACCCTGTGCATGAAAGGGAACTTCTTGCCATCATACATGCACTGAAGAAATGGTGGGTGGAGTTGCTTGGTGCCCCAGTGTTGGTATATACTGACCACTGTATGCTGCAGAGTTTTGCCATGCAATGTGACCTCTTCAGATGCCAAGCCTGCTGGCAAGAGAACATGTCACAGTTTGACCTTACCATTCAGTATGTTCAGGGAGAGCACAATGTTGGTGCCAATGCCCTGTCTCATTGCTCAGATGACATGCCTCCTGTGGCTGCCATGTCAATTGTTGAGGTCAACAAGTCACTCACTGTGGAGATCTTAAGGGGTACACAGAGGACCTGTTCTGCAGATGACTCTTCTGCTTGCTTGACTCACTCCCTGGCTTACAGGAACATGATGGTCTGCTGTACCTTGCAGGCCATCTGGTGGTTCCTTGTGTTCACTCACTTTGTGAGCACTTCTTCCACCTCACCCATGATGCCTTAGGTCACTTTGGCACTGACAAAACATATGTGGCACTTTGCAACTCATTCTACTGGCCCAATATGTGCCATGACCTGGTGTCTGTATATATCCCTGCCTGCACCCAGTGCATGTGTAACAAGTCTCCAACTACAGCCCCAGCTGGCCCCCTACATCCCTTACCAGTCCCTGACACTTGTGGGGACTTGGTGGCCATTGATTTCATTGGCCCCCTCCTGGAGGACCATGGGTTCAATATGATCATTACCATGACTGACCACCTCAGTGCTGGCATGTGTCTAGTCCCTTGTCATAGTTCTATTACCACTTCAGAGATCATGGCACCCTTGTTTGATCATTGGTATTGTGAGAATGGCCTCCCCTTGGAGGTTGTGTCAGATTGTGATAAGCTTTTTGTCTCTCACTTTTGGAAGTCCCTTCACAAGTTGATGGGTGTTAAGCTCAAAATGTCCTCATCCTACCATCCTCAAACAGATGGATCAAGTGAATGCACTAACAAGATGGTCAACCAGTGTATTTGCTTCCACATCAAGTGCAATCAGAAAGGCTGGGTCAAGGCCCTGCCCCATGTACACTTCCACATTATGAACACTATTAATAACAGTACAGGTTTCTTGCCCTTCCAGCTCCATCTTGGTCACTCTCCACACCTCCTGCCCCCCATATCTATTCCAGATGTTTCAGATGGGGAGCATGCTGAGACTGATGTGAGTCAAAGTGTGGTTCAGTGGTGAAAACCAACCAAAACCAACACAAAAG